CCGGCCGCCGTTTCTGCCAGTAGGGATCGGTTACCGACCAATCTCGGACGAAAACAATCAGTGGTAGAGAATACTCGGGCCCAATTGATTGCGACCGTATCAGCTGTACGGTACTTCTAGTCCCCACCTGGTTCAGCAATTACAATAGAATTTCAATGCATCGATTCTGAAAAAAGCTCAGTTACGATACATACGTCGAAAAAAGCCCGGAAGAAAACAACCCGCGGTGGAAGACTTTCCGGATGGGCCTAATCCATTCGTCTTGGCGCCGCCCCGACAGATTGCGACGATACCAGCCGTGGAATAATCGCGGGAGATCATCTGTCACCCGTTCTCCCATTGAGTATGAGAGTCCTCGAGCGAGACCCATCAATATCCCCATTTGTTCCTGTTGTCACCACTCCAGAACGGACCCGGAGACCTTCACTTCTCTCGTTCAGAACTTTCATGGGAAAGTCCGGAAAATGGGTTAATCATCATCCGGGTGTTCGCTTGACAACCCAAGAGATCCCATAGTCACCTCGGTTCAGAAGTTATCAAAGATTTGGATGACGTCGTTGAAAAACACTGACCACATGCTCCCATCTGATCTTTGATTCTTCGCCAGATGCATAATCGCCTCATCATTGACGCCTCACGGAGTTCAGAAATCCGCCCCCTACGCAATGCGTGTATCGAAAAAGCTGACCGAGTGCTCCTAATGCCTAGAGAGAAGCCAGGTCTTTGAGGAACGCATTAGTGCTAGAAGATTCACAGAATTACAGAGGCGAAGCACCGTATTTCACCTTCACCCACGGATTTTTCCAGAGGAGCTCTGCCGGGCATAGCCTCATTAAGTCCTCTGCCGAGCATAGCCCTATTAAGCAATTTATTCCAATTTGGGCGGAAACGTCCACTAGGCGCAGGGCTCGCCATCTCCTTGTCGCTTTGTATGGCAAGATGAGTTGCACTGCTTTCTACTCTCCGTACTAGGAGAGTACTAGGGTTGGCACTGGCACTTTATCTTCTTTCTACTGACCAGTGCTCATTCTCGGTATAGACCCGGGCAAAATCAATGTGCTGGCCAGTACCCGGCTGGTTAAAAAACGGGGCCCCAGTCCAATGCATTCTTGAGGGCGACAATCGTACTGCTGACAGCCGCTTAACTCCATGAACCCACCCTGGAAAGGTGTCAGATGTGAGGGTAGAGGACGACAGGGGTTGACGTAGACCTGGACCAAAGCCAGATAACTCCTTGCTCAGAGGGTAAGTTGAGGCGCCGGAGTCTCAAAAGAATCCAACTTGTTGAGGTCTTTGGGAGCATAGGGAGCCGGGATTCTCTGGAAAAGAAGATATCACTTTCCCATGATTAAGACATCCCATCAAAAACTTTTACATCATCTTCATGGTGTTCAATAGATAAGCTTTCAAAAATCTGAAGTGAAAATAATCATTTTATCCACCCGAATGAGCTACCGTGACTGGGATCGCATATCACACCACTTTTACAAAAAACTCCGAACCGTTCTCAAATAATTAATAGCAAACTTGAAAAAATCAAAATGCTAAAATCGATAAAAATAAAAATAATCCCCCGGAGTTCTTCGACTTCCAATTTTCCAATTTCCCACTTCTTGATAATTTTTCATTCAGACCACTTCCACGTTCAATATCCTTCGATGAGAGGTTAAAACTACTCGATCCTAACGGAAATCTGGTGAGCTTTATAGACACGAAGTCAACAATCTCCATTCATAAAAAAATAATAAAAAAATTGTTTCATTGACAAATGCAAAAAAAGTGCGTGTTGGATTATTATTATATAAACTGAATTGAATTATACTAATTAAATTAAATTATAAATTAAAGAAAATTTTATCCTATTCCACAAGTAATAATTTGTGTTAATAATAAATCTTTCCACTAACTTCATATTTATTTCTGATATATATCTGTGCTCTTGAATCCGTTATAGCCCCAGAAACTCAGAAATTTTTCCACTCAAAGTGCAAATGGGATTACAAACACTGATCAGGCGCTTTTGGCGTCGGCGCCCATTGGGTCACGTCATCACTTTTTTCACCAGAATCGGTATAGCCCACCGAGATAGTTCATAATGATTATTCGAAATAAGCAAATCAATTTTTTTGGGCGCGGCGCTATTCGGCGCCAGATGTGTCAGCTGCCAATTTGACACATCACTTTCACCGCAATTTCAACTGCATATCCGTGTGATTTCATGGTCTGATTCACCTTTAGCGCCACCCCACTACTTTCCACCGAAATGGGTATAAGCCTGGGGAGACGGGCAAGAGGATCGTAATTTGCCGCTTCGCCGCGCGCGGCGATGGGCGTTTTCTTAACTCGTGTCAACCTGTCGACTGGATTGTCGATTCATGTGGACCCCGTCATCGTAGACATTCAATCGAACTATTTTGTTCTGATTGCCTTTGCTACTATCTGGATCGCATCGCATTTGGCAGGGCGGCGACGTCGCAACGCCATCGCCCACAGCACGGTGAATATACGATTTCTCTCGTCCATACCGCATAAATGCCCTGCATACTGGGGTAACTGGCGCCGGCGCCGCAGAGACATTCGAGGGCTGTATTCTTTCTTAGCCCATGAAGGGAAAACAAGCGCCAAAGGACGGTAGATATCGTTTGAGTGTCTGCACCCAAACTAGCAGCTTCGGAAATTGCCTTATTGAAATGAACTTCTGAAGTTATACATTTCACGCTGTTTCAGATTATACCATCACCTCAGTTCACACCAACAAAGTCACGAATACCATTGCGAAACTGGTTCAACTCAATGAAAAGCAGGTTAGTAAAGAGGTAGCTCACCTCTCAGACTATGCGTTCCTGAGCCAACGTTCTCCAGAGCATACCTCTGAATCTGTTGCGGATTGATGCAACCTCTGTAACAATTTGATCACTTCCAGCAAAGAATTCAGTGATCTTTGGGGAAACAAAGTAATATAAGTTGGATACTGCGAATAAAATACAACTCCAGGGAGGTCCTATAATCTAACCCTCTCCCCCCCCCTAAACACTTGAAGCACAACACCTCTCAACAGAAACACCACATGTGCACAGACTTACGGTACACATCTAAGCCCGCTCTGAGGTTACCAGGCTGGCGAAGTAGTATAGGTGCATGAACTCTGAAGGCCGCAGCAGTCGGCAAATGGCGTCGCACGTTCGCAACAGAACCAAATTAGAATTGATTTGGCGCGAAAAGGTCATAATAATCCGGGCCGATTAGTTGGAATCAGTACGGCGCGCCGGTCGAGATAGATTTTTTTTTTTTTTTATTTTTTTTTTTTTTTTTTTTTTTTCCTTCTGATAATCGCATGTCGGGTCTCCTAACCCACATCTAGCAAAAGTAGCGAGGGAGTGTGCCTCTTCAGATCCAACCACTGCAAGGTGCGCCGTTTCGTGTTCGCTTTCCATGTTCTGTGTCTTGTTGCGTGCGTGTAACGCGCGGCAAGTCGCCCATGTGTGCGTCGCCGTGACCTATCGACACACCCACGTAACTTACTCGCATAAAGACGAGTAAGAAGCTTCTCGTGCCCAGGTTGGGGCATGAATATTTCATTGCACCGTGTTGTAAAGAACTTTATTCAGTTACAGTAATTATCCCAGTAAGTGAGAAAGAGAGTGGGGGAGCTTGATTTGGAGCGCAGCCAAGGCGGCCTTTTCCTAACCCAATAACAACTGGTGGGAAAGGCTGTCTCAACTGCGCTCCAATTCACGCCCCATCACAAGACCTCTCGTTTGCCGAGATGAAGACTCTAGCTCTCAGGGCACAAAGTAGGAATTTTTGGGAATTCCCAGAGAGGGGGCGGGAGGGGAAGGGGGGAGAGAGAGAGCTCTGAAAAAAAACCTTTTGGCTCTGACCTCTCTCGCCTCTCCGCTTTTCCTGTTTCAAGTGTCCTATATATCCCCTACATTTTGCAAAATTGTCCCCAACGATAGGACGTGCCCTGGTACTCATTTGCTCTGACCACCCAAATGACCCATTTTACACCCAGCCGACATGTAAAAGAAACCTGCTTGCTGCTGTCCAGCCATTTTCATACTTTTACCGAGCCATCGATTTGTTTATCAGTCGTGATAATCGATAAATTCAGGCGTAGTCGATTCACAATTGCTGGATCAACGGAAGATTTGACATCTCTGGCTTCATCAGATGACAAATCGTTCAAGTAAGCCTTATCGACTAACTACTTTTTCAGTGGATACGGCTCGTTTTCGAGCGGTAAAACCTGTAAATGGCTGTATTTCAAAAGAAATTAATCCCCGACTGATTACACGTTTGGTATTACATTTGGTAAGGAAACAATATTTTCGTCAAAAACATGGAATGTCATTAGTTGTTAATCCTACCCATCTAAAAACCATTCCAATCCCCTATACAAACCAGGAAAGGGTCCGGGTCACATAGGTCAATTGTGATGAGCCCCTGGACCCCTCCTGGGTGTGCAGGGCATGAACGGAACTAATCCTTCGGATTATACTTACATCATAACTGAAAGCTCCAGGGATTTTCACCCACTACCGATCGAACAGATTAGAGATGTTGGCGCTGTTCGGCTTAGTTGGGAGGAGGGGGAGGGGGGCATTTTGCACTCTCCCTAGCATCCTTTGGTCCTTGTTGAATTACTCGTCTCAACTTTGCGAAATCTGTAGACTCTTGTCAAGTGCAAGCGAGCGTTATTGCCCAGCTTTACAGTAATTCACAGGTACTCACATGAGCCTACGGCAGTGATCGATGGGAACCTGCAATATGCCCCCACTGTGCCCAATCGTCTATTATTGACAATCAATCCGCAGCAAACTTGTCGTTGTTGTTTTGTCTGCAAAGGAATGTCAAGAACTGACCGACGAAATCAATGAATCAGCCGTTTTCAAGGACTTTAAGGCCATCAAAGGCTGCATACACCATAATATGAAAAGACCGGGACGAAAATTGGGATAAACCATAACAATCACTTTGAAACGGATCAAAATAAAAGGTTACTTGTCCTTTCTCCAGACGTCTTGAGCTTCCTATATCAACATGATCACTACGGTAGGTTTAAGAAAGAACTAACGATAAGCTCTTGTAGCGAGTTTACATTTATCTTACGCCTAGTAGAGGTTTATTCACGGCGGATCATAGGGCACCATTCTGCTTTCCAATTAACACGTTGACGACGAGCCATTTTTCCCATGACTTGCGCCTGGGACGGCACATTTTTCTACACTGAAACTTAGTAATTTCCAAATAAATGAATTACTACGACCAAAATGTATCGAGAAATGCAGGAGACGAGTATAAGCATCATCTCCGCAATTCTTGACCAATTTAGCTCTTATTGCTCGAATCTTCCAAAAATCCAGAGCCATTTTACCAACGTCTTTCCTCTGGATACAGAATATTGACTAAAAAAATTTTGTCTCCCGGGGTGGTTTGATCTCTTTGAGAACAGTACGTCGCAGTCGCCTCGACCCGGAAAAATGTTTGTTCGCTTGAACAGACCTTTTATTTGGTAAGAAAACGTGAGACAAGCGCGGCCAGATGGCTTGACGGAGTAAGTATTATATCATGCACTGTGGGACTCAGCCAGACATGTGGGCGACGACCGGCTCGGCTCCACAAGACAACACCTCTCCTCTGTCTAGTCGTCCCACTTCTCGACGGGAAAATCGTCGGTCGTCGCGATTAGTGGCGACATGAATTATTTCTTGCTTGCCAGTGGGGCGTCAGGTAGCATCCGGCTAGAGACAAGTTGTTCGCTTAGACAATTCGATAGATCCTTTATTATGGACATTTCTGGCCCGGCGGCCGCTAGCAGCTTGTGCGTGGCAGGTCATTGTCACATCTAATTCTTTCGTTCAGGGTCACGCTAACCACCACACACACCGCTCTCCTCACACGATTTGGTGACCCGATACGTACTCTTCCTCTCACACTCCGCGGAGCCACACACAATGTAGATATTGATGTTCCGGCGCGTTCAATGCCCTACCCCACGAAAAAAGGTTTTCAGCCCGCTTTTAGTGGCTAACGTCATCCTTTGGCGCCAGCCTCTATGTCGCGGCGCGGCACCGGCAGGTCCGGGCCACAACCACATCGCCTGTGTCTCTCCCAGCCTACTCCTATAGGTCAGTTTTTTGAACACCAATCTTGTCCGTAGCGCGCTGCCGCTTTGTTTCCTCGCACGTCTTTCATTATCTACGGAGAGCAGCATGCTGGCTCGGGCACAAGCATTGTACTGACCACCCCGCCTCTCCATGAGACGGACGGCTAGTCGCCCACCATTGTCGACACTTCCCGTCGTGTCAACGTGTTCAAGCGCCAATGCAGCATGGCCTGGCAACTGACTCCAACCATGCGATCCACGCATGGACTGTGCCTTTCAGTGGAAAGAATATCGATTAGTGAAGGTAGGTGAGGGCATCTTGCTCCCTCGATCCTCTCCAATCGATCACTACCGAAGCCTCCTGTGAAAGCTTGTGAACTCCTGTGAAGCTATGCAATAGCAAGAGCATAGTTAACTTTTAACAAAAGCCTACAGGTCTCAACAAGGTAACACGTCAAATCAAAGGAACTGGTAAAGGATACTCGCAACTCTGAGAAATGAATTCCCCTCTGAGCCGAACATTGCCGTTCAAAGCGACTAAAGGCTCCACAGTATTTATTGATCACTGTGGTCAACAACTGACCAGTCTATAGGGTTTTGTGAACGGGATCCAAGTATTTCGTGCAAAGAAGATAGACTTAGGTTAGGAGATCCGAAATGCGACGGCGCACACTCGCAAGCGTCGTCGCGTGCGCGACAAACGCACGAAATCTTTACTGATTTGTGCTGCAACAGCTCGAACCAACTCGTCAGAGAGGCCACAACTGCTGGGAAAGTTCCTGGGTGTCGAATTTCCTGACCCGCTTCCGAAAGAATGACAGCACTTCGGAAATCAGTACTTGAACTGTCTTTGAAACGGGAAATCATACACTTTAGCGCTGCTTATTTGTGACGCTTCTGTACAGCAATAATGGAAAAATGCTTTAAATTATTGGCGCTAGCTCCTTTTATTGCCAGACCACCACTCTGGACTATTCGAAGAACCCTTCATTGAACAACCAACAGTGGACTACTTGTCAATTTTGGCATGGCAACATGAACCGGTTTCCGTGCTATAGATTTCGTTAGGGCTCCATAAACCACAAGATGATGTTTATTTTTCATTGGGGCACTGTTTGGCTTGAAGGTGGGAATTCTAAGATGATGTTTATTTTTCATTGGGGCACTGTTTGGCTTGAAGGTGGGAATTCTGCACCTTGGCTAGGTCATTTTGCAACTTCATGTTCAATAACAGGTCTTTCTTTGGTGAACCTGTAAACTCCTGTGAAGCTACGAAATGGCGCAAGTGAACCATTTTGTCCCAGGAACTGACAGGTCCTCACAAGAGCATGTACATGCTTAAGTGGGTACCATTTTCTGCCCCCACCAAGCCGAACTGCGTTGAGCACATCCAGAAAATGTACTCAATACTGACTGAGTCAATATTCTTAGACTCTTGGGATGTCCTTCGCAAGGTAGGCTATGGTATCGTGTACCTGTGGGCCAACTGAGCGCTAGGCCTATCTAGCCCATAAAATGCAGCGTCATCGATCTTCGGAGGACAACCATCAAATTTGATTAGATGAGGTGTTATCATGCAAGAATCCGGGTTTCCCAAACATGGTAAAAACCACTTGTGAAACGAGTTTCCAAGAAAATTTGTTATGCAGCGGAATGCTAATGTATGAAGTGTTGTTTTTCATAGCCTCGACGAAACCCATAACGCCATGTTTAGTTATCTTATCAGTGTCGTTGAAGAGCGACGGTTCGCAGTCCGTCCATCGCATGGTTAGGCAATTATCAGCACCAAGGCATATACTGCTGCTGTCGGAACTTCTGTCCCGAACGTTTTCTATTCGCTTCAGAATCTCATTGTTAATGCTATTTCTTAGGCGCTATTTGGCTTGGAGGGGGCATTTTGCACTTTCGCTAGTTCCTTTATTAATTTATGTTAAACAACAGGTCTCTCTTCAGTCAGACCTGTAAAGTCCTGTGAATTTGCGAAATTGTGAGAGTGAGCCTTTTCGGTCACAGGAATTCAGAGGTCCTCACAAGGTGTGCTATACAAGCTTAGCTGTGTAGCGTTCGGTGCCCCCACCAAGTTAACTTCAACCGCATTGATAGGCTCCACACTCAGAATACTCAACTTTTACTGATCCCGGTTCGTTCAAAACTTAGGTTGGCAAAGGTCAGGCCCCAGTTTAAGCCCTTACTGTCGGAGTTTTGCTGTTGAGTGCAGTTCGAACTTTGTCCGCGGGTTAAGTTGTGATCCAACACGAAACCACTCAGTTTGAGTATGGTTTTCAGGCGTGTTCGCCCAAATGCGATGGCGATAATTTTGTGGTCAAGGGACTGAAACACCCCGCAACACAAACTGCCGAGACAATCTTCTGCTTGGACAGATTTGGCTTCCCGTTGGGCAGGCCTAAGTGAATAATGCTCATGAACTACGACGATATTATCATTTGTTTGATGATATTTTAACTTTTCTCGAATGTTTTCTTGATTCTTGCTCCCTTCGGGGCAATTAAGCCGGTGACTGGCACCATTGACTCGATGCTTCAGTTTACGAATCCGCTTGCTCGTTAATAAAATTGTGAATTTTATGTAAGAATATTTGCTGTTTCTCCGAACATCGATAGAGCCGCTTAAGCACGGACTTCTGCCTCAAGTAACAAGGAATATCAGAGGGAACAGATCCTTAATCTCTACTACACAGCAAAGCGCAGCATCCTGTTTGTTAAGCGTGGTAATAGTAAACCAAAGCCCTATCACCTAGGACCTTGTACTGGAGGCTTCCTTTACCATCTTTCTTTTTCTTCTTCTTCTTTTTTCCCTTTTTTAATTGCATGTCTGCCCGGAATTTCGGCATAAAAAGAGTCACTGGGCTAGGCCTACTGAGTTGCCTGCCCTCTACGATTCCACATGGACAGAATTCGTTTCGTCCCTGGGATGGACCTTTGAACTTTGTCCGGGGGAACTTTGTCCTCTTGGGTAGTTTGACTATCTGTAGACGAATACGGCCTCGTTCAGTGCACAACCCGCTGCGCGAGGCGCTCGCAGGCCACCAGCGTAACGTCCTAATACTCTCCTTTACGCGGCGCG